AGCTCATTTTGCAAGAAGTCATTAAATAACTCGAGAATGTCACTTTCTCCAGAGCCGCTTGTCTCGACATATTTTGACGATGAAGCTTTGAGTGCAACTCCTTTGAATGATAGATTTTGATCCCTTTTGATCTCCGCTGCACTAGAAAAGTTAGACATTTCATAAGTGAGTAGTTTACCTCGAAGTGCGTCATATGTCAATGTATTGTAATCTCGGCCTTCTTTGATAGGGTTGACCGTAGACTTCCATTCCGGTGTGAGACTTCGAAGGATTTTTCGAACGAGAACATGATCCTCATAATGCTTTCCAAGTGTATCCAAATTTGAGACGATAGTTGAAAATCTCTCGAACATGCCATCTATTGTTTCATTTTCCATCATCATGAAAAGCTCATACTCATGGGTGAGTAAGTTGATCTTTGAGTTCTTCACTTGACTTGTTCCTTCATATGTGACCTCTAATTTGTTCCACATCTCATTGGCCGTCTTGCACCTTGAGATTTTGCGATAGTCATCCGGATTCACGGCACAATATAGAAAGTTGACGGCCCTTGCATTTAGTTGCATCTTCTTCTTGTCATTTGAGGTATATTCGGTCTCTAACTTTGGAACAAGAACCCCGTCAACAATCTTCGTGGGAACCGTCTCTCCATGCTTGATCACCATCCAAGAATCATAATCATTTGATTGGATGAATATTCTCATCCTCTCTTTCCAATAAGCATAATTTGTGCCGTCGAAGAGTGGTGGCCTTGTCGTGGATTGTCCTTCGGCAACTCCGGGTTGAAATGTTCTTCCGCCCATGATCTTTTTAAATTTTCAGCGGTAAAGCTTTGAAAATCCCTCGCTCTGATACCACTTGTTAGACGCCTCGCACACCTCTAGAGGGGGGGTGAATAGAGGTGTTTCCCAAAAGACCAGTTTTTTTCGCGGAAACGTTCTTCACGAATATTCAATAAAATCAATGCACCACAAACAAAATAAAGTGAAGGATAAGAGCAATGCACACACGATATATACTGGTTCGGCCTAAATGCCTACATCCAGTCCCCGAAGCAATCGTGCCCAGGCCTTCACTAACTCGTCAAACTTAACAGAGTTTGACAATCCGAATACAACTCGAGAACTTGATTTCACAAGCCTCTTATCTTACCACCGAAGTTTTGATTTCACAAAACTTAGGATTTCTTCCACCTAACGTTTGATTTCACAAACCGTTAGGATTTCTACCACTTGGTGTAATCCCAAAACCAAGAATACAAATCCCTTACAATAAAGTAAGAAAACAAACCGCAACCGAGTAATTCTCCCAACACGGAGTAGATTGTTGCAAATACAATGAAGCCCTTTAGAATATGACAATATCTCTCAAAGACTCAAGCAATGAGGAAAAACTTAAAGAAATGATTTAGCAATCAAAACAATTGCCTTGCTTGGATATAAGGAGGGGATTGAGTAGAATCTCTTTGGATATTCAAAGGATATATTTTTCAAAGTGTTCTAAGTGCTCTTATGAAGATAATCACGAAAGTAGGAGGTTTAGAGAAGTTAGGGAGTGGATAGAGATGAAAAGCATTCAAAAAACTAGCCGTTTGATAGTTGAAACTGTCGAACTATTCGACTAAGTCAAGACTTAGTCGACTAGTTTAGGTGAAACTGCAATCTGACTTATTCAACTAGTTCTGGATTTATTCAACTAAGTCAGAATAGAATTTCAGGGATTTAGTCGAATAGTTTTCAATTTATTCGAACAGTTTGCTGAAAAAAATGTGTTTTAAAGGTAGGATGATAAGGGAATGAACCTTAGAGATGCTATACTCTTTAAAACAAAATCTAAGACCTATAACACTACCCAACTAAGGAAACAACCTCTTTGGTCTCGTTCCTTCCACCGATGCTCAAGTCCCTTCTTCACGCACGGATATGAACTTGTTGTAGCTTTGATTCCTAGCCTTGATGCACAAAATGATGATGATGTTTTGTCACCCTTTTGTAATTATCAAGACCTAAAAGACAATGAGCAAAGGACATTGCAAAAATACATATTCATGATAGCACATTGTCCAACACGGAGGGGGGCGGTGTTTAACGCCGCCGGGGCGTTAAACGCCCCCTCACGCCGGCGGGCGTGAAGCCCATTACCAGTGCTCTTACCATCAAACTCTTTTGCCATCAAATTAATTTTTATTCAATGCTTGATAACTGGCCCAACTTTTTTCAACAGGACATCGCCTATCTCAGGCTGCTGCCACTTCTCCTCCTGCAGCTTCTCTGCCAGACACCATCGGCGCCGCCGTTTGACGAGATTTGATGCGCACGAAAGAGAGAGGATTAGATTTGGGATTCTTAAAATCTTTGGTTGGGAGTAGAGATTTGTTTATAGACTTTTTATTATAATTTCTTCCTTCAAATCCATTAAAATCCATGTAGAATACAAATCTTTAAAAAATCATGTAGTGTTGAATATCTTTTGATTTAGATAGAATTTTTAAAATCCAAATTCAATACATTCAGATTTCAAATGACTTTTTACAATCTAAATTGAATAAACTTAGATTCTAAACGACTTTTTAAAATCTGAATTGAATACCCATAGAATTTCATAATCCAAAAAAATCTTTCAAAGAGTCCCCCGAGCAGTGTTCAATGGGCGCCAGCCCCTGCGGGGTCCAAGGGGCAGAGCCTCTGGCTGGGCTTGAAAATTTTATATTTTGGGCAAAGTGCTATGTTAAAAAATTCATTTTAATTTGTATTTTCGAATTTCCTTTAAAGGAAAATTCGTTACGGATAGCGCTGATTTTCAAAGGAGTTTCGCACGAAGAATTACGTGCTTTGGGTAATAGACGCAATGTTGTCTTCTCCTTCTCACCGCAAGTTTATAAATTTAGAGATCATCATAAATAGGACTAAAACATAGAGAAAAGTACCAAAATAGGACTTTCATGTTTTTTTCCCCGGAATAGGACGTTGCACTGTGGTAATGTGACTTTACATTGTGGTAATGTGGCAGTGTACATGTGCAAATTACTATACTTTTTTGGTAATGTATATGACCATGTTTGGTAATGTAAGTCCTATTTCAGGAATAAAAACATGGAAGTCCTATTTTGGTATATTTTCAATGTTTTAGTCCTAGTTTGGTCTTTCTCCCTTATAAATTCCCGCAAGCTATGGTTGGAATTTGGTTCGGAAATTTCACAGCAATTCATACTCGTTCTTGATACGTTCAAGTTTTTAGCGATTGAATTTTGGAGTGAACAACCAAAATATTCAATCTGAAAGTGTTATACACAACTCTCGATATATTCATCCAAGTTTTCGTTAATTTCCCCAACATGTGGGACTTTGTCTCCCACTACACATCATAATAAGTGTCCTTTTGACATTTTGCAAATGTAAAAGGTTTATGCTTTATTCCCTTTAATTGATAAAATGCATTTTCTTCCCCTTTTGAGATAAGAGTTTCGGCCAAGAAGGGAAGAGGAAGAGGAAAACATTTTGAGTTCCAAAATTAATATTTTGGGTGTAGAAAATTGATATAATATTTTCTTTAAAATATTATTGACACATTTTCTACTATTTAATATACAAGATTTATATTATCCCTAAAATAATCTTTATATTAAAATATACTATTATAATCTTTACTAGCATAAAGATTATAGTAGACTCCGGAGATTGTTTGTGTGTCAAAGTTGGAGGCCGGACGCTTGAACGGCTACGTTTGCTCATTCAACGCCTTTCCTTAATTCAACGCCATTACTGCTAACCGGAGAAGGTATAAATTTCTATCTCTAGCTATAGTATTAGTACGTGTTCTTAGGTGATGGGTAATAACCCATGGATACCACCCGGTTGGTTCGCCTGACTGGGTGGTGATAGGAGATGGCAGATCATGTCCTTCGGAGACCGGGTCGGGAGACCGGTTGGCTGGAGGGAATGAGCACACGACACCTGCAGAAAGATTCTCGAAGTACTCTTATGCGACCGGTCAGACAAATGACCGGTTGGATAACCAGAGACGTGCTTGACGTGCTTAATTATGTTATAAATACCCCTAAAATCCTCATTTTTGAGGTATGTTCTAATTAACCTACACGGCTTGTACTTTGTAATAGTCCCAATAATTATCAATAACAAACCGGGTTACAGGTGTTCCCACCTACAGCCCTTCCGACTACTTTTACTTTGTATTTGCGTGGTAATTTACACCATCAAAGTGGCGCCACCCGTGGGACCTATTACAAAAAGTCATGGCCAGTAATCAGGAAACCGTGATCTCACAAATCTCTACTCCCGCTGAGAACGTCACTTCGTTCCCGGGAGGAAGTTCCCAACCAACAAGCCAGGTTCCTACTCCCATCATCACCATTCCACAACCTATCCCATTCACTTCCCCCGTGAACCCAGTTCCTGTTTTTCCTTCAAATTTCACCGGACCCCTTGATCCAATATACAGCCAGGCCCTTCAGAATTTTGGACATTTCATGTTCATGTTCCAGCAACCGGGAGGGTTTTCACCTTTCAATCCGGGATTGTATCCACAATCCTCACCTCAAACTAACGTCATTCGCCCGATCGTCCGACAAACCTGATCGGGGAGATGGATAAAGCAGGACCATCCCGGTCTAGAAGGAGCCGGTCCCGTAGGTCGCAGACAAAGGTGACCTCGGACGGGGATGTGCGTTCAGTCCACAGCAAAGACGAGGATTGGGACGTTCCCCAGGCGCTCAAAAAGTTGAAGGGAAAGGCAATTCAGCCAGAAGGATCTAGGAGGTCGGCCTTTCAGAGACTGGGCCATGAGGGCCGAAACCAGAACCGGTCAGCAAAAGAGCGGCTTGGAGTGGAAACCATCCCAGCTAGTGCCTTTAACCGGGAAGGGAGAGGAGCCGGACGACCTGGTCAGACCAGGCGAACGGAACCACCCCCACGCGATGAGCCCCAGCACAGCCGGGCGCCGCGGGAGGAAGAAGCCGAAAGCCATCCCAGGCACCCGACCCGTTCTCATGTTGAACAACCACGGGATCGTGTGGGCCGGGTCGAGGCACGTCTGGAGAAACTGCAACGCCGGGTAGACCGGGAAGAAAAGAAGAAGATTCTACTGAACGAATCTCCGTTCACAGACCGGGTTCATGAGACCCCGTTTCCAAAGAAGGCGAAACTTGAAGTCCCGAAGTTCACCAGGAAGGAGGACCCGGAGATTCACGTCAAAACCCTCCATCAAAGTAGGCGGATGATGGGTCTCTCCGGGGATGAGAAATGTTTGCTTTTCTTTCAAACCCTCCGCGGCCGCGCCGCCGAGTGGTTTCATAACTTGCCGGCCGGCGAAATCGATTCTTTCGATGAGCTGGCTGAAGTGTTTCAAGAAAAGTTCAAGGAAAACTGTACCAAGAGGAAAAAATTCACCTACTTGAGTACAGCCGGGCAGCGAGAGCACGAGGATCTGACAAAGTTCCTTACCCGGTGGAAGGATGAAGTTGACAAGGTGGAGGAGATGGACGACAAAACAGCCATGTCCCTCCTTGTGTCCGGGCTCCGGTCCGGAGCGCTGTATAAAGAATTCTGCAGGAAGCCTCCCCAGTCCTATCAAGAGGCCTATAACACGGCCTGGGATTATGCTGACGCTGAAGCCCAGGTGTTATCTAAACGGGAGGCCGAGCAGGGCCATTCAAAAGGAAAGATTTCCTTGAAAAAGGAGATCGGATTGCCCGGTAAGGTAAAAGCCGAAATCATGGAGGTAAAGCCGGTCAAAACAGAGAAGAAACCAACCGGCGAGAAATAGTGGACGGAGAAGTATTGCTCCTTTCACAAAACTGACTCCCATAACACTACAGAGTGTAACAGTGTGAAAGGAGTAATAAAGCAGATGATCGAGGCCGGGGAGATTGATCCTGAGTACCTGGCTCAGGCCAAACCGAAGAAGAACCAATGGGTGAGGCCTGAAGGACAGCCGGCTGAACAGAACAAAAAGAAGAAAACAGCTGGTAAGGAGCACTTACAAGTCATCTACGGCGGACCAGAAGGAGGAGACTCTGCTTCCCAAATGAAGAAATGGGGGCGAGAGCTCTATGTAGGAACGGTGGCCCTCAATCCCCGGTCAAAACAAGCAAGACGGGAGCCGATCACTTTTACTGACCGGGACCTTCCCGCCACCGGAGAAGATCACAATGACCCCCTGGTGATAACTATGGATATGGGTGGAGTCGATGTCTCCCGGGTACTTGTTGACACGGGCAGCAGTGTCAACGTTTTGTACCTGGAAGCGTTTGAGAAGCTCAAGTTGTGTCGAACACGGCTTGAGCCCTTAAAGACTCCCCTGTCTGGGTTTACCGGGGACTCAGTCGAAGCTGAAGGGTCGATCCTTCTAACTTGTGAGCTGGGCACGGGCGAGCAGGTCGTCCAGAAGCAGATGAGATTTGTAGTTGTGAACATCAAATGTGTTCACAATGCTATTTTGGGCCGGCCTGGAATAAACAAGGTCCGAGGGGTCATCTCCATGGCCCATCTCTGTATGAAGTTCTATACCCCGGGCGGTATAGGACAAGTCAGAGGTGATCAAAAGAAGGCCCGGCATTGCTATCTGGAGGCAGTAAAGAAAATGACAAAGGCCTTTGAGAGAGTCACTTTGGTCTCTCAAGAAGAAGACCGGTCAAAGCTGGAACCGGGTGATGAGACCGAGCAGATCGTTCTCCGGGAAGCCTTCCCAGAAAGAATGGTACGGATCGGAAGAGATTTGCCCGGGGGACTTCGAGATGAAATCATCTCAGTTCTTCGGGAATATGCAGATATTTTCGCTTGGAGTGTGGCAGACATGCCGGGCATTGATCGTTCTGTCATATGCCATCGCTTGGCTGTGATGGAAGGGAGCCGGCCAGTAAAACAAAAGAAAAGGCACTTGGCTAACGTCCGGAGGGACTTTGTGAAAAAAGAGGTGAAGGATTTGTTGGCGGTCGGGCACATACGGGAAGTGCAATACCCGGCCTGG